AATTCCCCGTTTGGACTTCTCTGTTGACATTCACTCCTTGGCGTTTATATGACCTTATGCAGTTGCGAGCGCCGTAAAACCTTACTAAAACTTTTTTTTAATGTTTATTTTTCGTGGCAGTTACCTAGTCTGTGGTATCAAGTTATATATGTACTCAAGAAATATTTTGTCGAAATTCATATTCTATACGTTAAAAAAGCAAGAAAAAATACATGATATGGGTACAATTGTTACAAGAATGAAACAGTTTCCTCTCTCCTGTAAAATTTTGCCTTCTGGACTAAGTACATTTTAACCGCTTGCCACCGATCTTCTCCATTAAAGTGTGGAAACTGACACCTTGCGTTGTCTTTATCGTCCTCTGCTGATTAGCGCAAGAGCTATCCGTAATGGACAGGTTCTTTTCGCCATAAATGTTGAAACCAAGAAAGAAGCCTTCAAGCTGCGCACATACACAAGTGGAAGTGGAGCTTTTGAATACTCAAAATGTTGCAAACTTTTCTTTGCCCGAATTGGTCTCATCGGCCAAAGCAGAAGCCACGAGTCACCTTAACCTTTATTAAGATTTTCTAATTCTTTTCTTGAGAAACATTCTCCTCAGCAAATGTATTGGTCATCATCAGATTTTGACATATGAATTGTTAACATTATCATTATTATTATTTTCACTATTTTTCAATAAGGCCATTGATAGTTCTGGTACCTTGAAGTAAATTAGGAGTAAAATGCTCTCTCTTTGGCAGCTTGTTAATAATATACTCAAAACCTACACGACTCAGCAATGTTATGCCCCTTCCTTACCCCCTTCTCTCTCCCTCCCCTAAGAAAAGGACAAATAAATCATTAGATAAACAAAATACTAACATACCAAAAAAAAAACCTAAAAAAACCCCAACAACAACAAATAGACGTGCGTGTGTAACACACAGGTGACGTTATAACCTCAAAATATTGGCTCATTGCTTGTCAACAGATCCCCTTAAAGCTGCAAATAAATATTAGGGCAACGTTCAAAAACATACACTAGGGTGCCTTGTTTTAGCTTCGTAATACTTTCACATCCTTATTTCTCTGTGTGTACATGAGCTCAACATTTCTTCCATTATGACTTATGGTCCCCATGAGAATCATCTTTAAGAAGTACGAAACTATGAAGTTCGCAATGTCTTAAGGAGATACAAATCCTAAACACCGAACATTTAATGTTTTGGAGATAACAGTTGATCACGCAGTTCAGATTTTTCCTACCCGTGACTGGGCTGTAGCGGTCTGGCGCTTCGCTGTCGTATGCAGGAGATCCATGTTCAATTCGTGAGTGGGAAGAATAAGTGTTATCGGATATCTATGTCTTTATGTTGGGATGTCGTATTCTTTTCTGCTCGGGTTATCCCTGACAGGCAAGGTCCGAAGCCCGATTCCTAAAAAATATTTTTTTATGCAGAGAGAGAGAGAGAGAGAGAAAGAGAGAGAGAGAGAGAGAGAGAGAGAGAGAGAGAGA